GTGGCCGTTGTTGCCCATGTCGCCCCCCCGCCGACCCTCCCCTCCCCGCAGCCCCTTCGGCGGTGCACTGCAAACCCATCGTGGCTCAGGAGCAGCTCTACGTGGTGGTGGCCCAACTCTTCGGCGGCTCCTCCATCCACCGCTGGGACACGGCCGTGGACAAATTCATCAAGCTGCAGGACATCGACCCGCAGAAAACCCGCAAACCCAACGACGTCGAAGCCTTCCAGATCGACGGCGAGTGGTACTTCGTCATCGCCGACAGCTCCAAGGCGGGCTCCACCAGCCTCTACCGCCTCGACCAGAACGGCTTCTACTCGCACCAAGCCCTGCACGCCTGGCACCGCGACACCGACGTGGAGTTCGTGGAGCACGACGGCAAAGCGCGGCTCATCGTGGCCAGCAGCTCCCAGGCGCCCGTGCTCTACCAGTGGCAGCGGGCGCAGAAGCTGTTCGCCCCGCAGGGGGAGGTGGGCGACACGGCGGACGTGCAGATGGTGAAGCACTTCAGGGCCGGCCGCGAGCATTTCCTCTGCCTCAGCCGCTACATCGGCGACTCCAAGGTGGTGCGCTGGGAAGGGCAGCGCTTCGTGGAGCTGCAGGCGCTGCCGTCGCGCGGCTCCATGGTGCTGCAGCCCTTCTCCGTGGGGCGCCGGCTCTACATGGCGCTGGGCAGCGATTTCTCCTTCAGCCACGTCTACCTGTGGGACGAGGGCCGGCAGAGGTTCTCCAAGTTCCAGGAGCTGGCGGTGCAGGCGCCCCGCGCGTTCCGCTTCGTCCCCGCGGCCGACGTGCAGCTGCTGCTGGCGCCCAGCTTCAAGGCCAACAGCGTGGTGTACCGGCACGTGGTGGTGGACCTCAGCCTGTAGCCGGGGGGGCACGCATGCGCCCGCACCCCGCACCCCGCACCCCCTGCCCCCCCCTCCTCTCCCACCCCCGAAAGGCGCCGCCGGCCTCGGTGTCCCCGTCCCTGCTTTCCTACAGCCGCGCTCACACGGAGCTGCCCCCAACCGGGACCCCCCCCCCCCCCCCCCCCCCCGGGCCCCATGGAGCCCCCGCGCCCCCGCGGGGGGGGGGGTTGGTGGGGAGGGGTGGAGATCAGAGCTGTGGGGTGGGAGGATGGGGAACCCCGAGGGGTCAGTGGGGTGCTGTGAGGTCAGTGGATGCCCCGATGTGGAAGGGATGCTCCAAGGTGGGTGGGATGCTCTAAAGTGCAGGGGGGGGGAGAGGGGTGCCCCAAAATGAGTGGGGAGCTCTGAAGCCAGTGGTGTTGATGGGATGCCCTGAAGTGGGAAGGATGGCCCCAAATCCATGGGGTGGGATCCTCCGAGGTTGATGGGATCGGGTGCTCTGAGGTTATGGGGTGCTCTAAAGCGATGGGGGTGGGGGGGTGCCCCAAAGTGAGTGGGGAGCTCTGAAGGCAGCGGGGTGGATGGGATGGCCTGAAATGGATGGGATGCCCCGAGGTCCGTGGGATGGGATGCTCTGAGGTTATGGGATGCTCCGAGGTCAGCATTGGGGTTAGTGGTTGGGGGTGCCCCGAGGTAATGGGATGACCTGAAGTGGATGGGATGGGATGGGATGGGATGGAATGCTCCAAGATCGATGGGACGCCCCGAGATGGACGGGATGCCTGGAGGTCTATGGGATGCTCCAAGGTTGATGGGATGCTCCGAGGTCGATGGGATGCCGGGGGGTGGCTGGGATTCTCGCAGCCCCCCGGTGCCGCCCACCCCCAGGAGCAGGGCTGGCGGCTTCCCTCCCCCCGGTGCTGACCGCCCGCGGACCGCGCAGCCCATAATAAACACACTGTGACACCCACGGGCTCCGTGCGCCCTCAGCGTGGGGTGGGGATGGGCGAAAACCCCCTCGGAGCTCCGCGGCCCCGCGGCTCTTCGTTCCCGCACCTCAACCGCTTTTCCCAGGCAGCTTTTCCACGCCTCGCGGGCGCGGATGAGAAAAAGCCGCTAATTAAAGCGGTTAATGAAGCGGGGAGCCGCGGGGCGCTGCCGGGGATACGCGGCCGGGGGGGGGGGG